GTCCGGTCCACCACGCGGTGTCCGCAGAAATGCGATCACTTGCATGACGCGACCACTCATCGCAAATTGGACTTGCTTTGGATTGATCTTTGATTGTCACACGCTGGGGGTCGAGGCTGCAAGCGAATGCACTCATTTGCTCCTTAGGACGGAAAAGGCACTTTCTGGGCTGCAAGTGATAGCGTGTCCACGTTTTCGTGTTCTCATCATGCTCCCAGTAGTCCTCAGTCCTTCTTTGAGAGCAAACACCCGCGTGTTGCGCAGAACCCTCAAACACGTGATTAAAAGGGTGTTCCTCTTTAGACAATCTGACATTGTTCTTTTCGATGTGATGACACCCAAAGTATCTGCCGAATGGCTCGGGCGCGTCGATCTCGACAACCTTCCCGATCAGTTCCCATCCCTTATCAAGGCTACCGGCGGGTCCTGCAAGCTTGAAGTCATCAACATATACGACGAGCAGCAGGTCGAGTTCCGGATGGTGGAAAATGGATGTCCATATTTCGGGCAACACTCTTACAAAGCCTTGCTTGCTAAGGGCATCTTCGAGGTGCTTCGCTTCGGATTTCTCCGATGCGGCGGGTTCCTCGATGTGGGCTTGCCCACGCTCCAACGGCACAGGATCATTTCGTGTCCTAGCATCGGCAACAGGTGGATGAGATGCAGGGTCTTTCAACAACCTCATCGGGAAGATGAACTCATCAGTCGGAAGCTCAATGCGCTTTGTTCGCTGTACCGTGAGGGACGCATGTTCGATATGGTAATCGAGCCCTTCTAGTTTTGCAACAAGGAACTCGCCTTTCCATGCAAACCCAGGCTGAATGTGGTACCCGAGAAACACGCCTTCATTTGATGTTGGCGAAGTCTTGCCTGCCTGATTGTCAGCTCGTGCAGGGTTGTTCCAGAACAGTACCTTTGCTCCGAAAGGTATCTCAGCTTCATCAAAGGTCTTGTGAAACCTGAGGTACCATGGCGAATCGTTTCCGTTCAACTGTGGCAGGATATTGGTCGCAACTGCATTGTGCTGGATTGCAAATGGCCACATCGACAGTGGGAACCCTGACTGAACAAGATTCGCACGTGCTCCCTCCAACAGATGTCTGATTTCCCTTTCTACGAAAGATTTGGAAGAATCAACATATTCAATGGAGGTCTGATGACGGTACCCCAACTGCTCTATAGCGGCTTTCAATTCCCGGGAATTATCGGTGTAGAGAACCTCAACCTCATCCCTACCGGAAATGAAATGCTGGATCCCTGCAACGGATTGCTCCGTGCTTTTGCTGGTCGACGGATAAACGTACCTGAACTGCGTATGCACATCCTTGATCACAAGAGCACACCATTCACCTTTGATACCTTGCTCGATATTAGCCTTGAGAATCACATGATCAGCAATGATGTGATCTCCAAACGCTTTCGTCTCGAGCCTTCCCTGCCCGCCCTTCGATCTTGCATATGGGGCAAGCATCTTGGCACGTTGGCAAGTGCGGCAAAAGGGATTCTTCGGATAGTGTGCAAACAAGTGCTCTTTGGTACTCGCTTCGGCAACCAGATCTTGCTCTTTGCGGGATCTCACAAACCGCTCAACTTCGTCGTCGGGATCATCACCTTCGTCGATGCCTTCGTCATGAACCGGTGCAGGCGCTGGCTTGGATGCTGCTACTGCACTCAACGATGGCTCAGCTTCACAGCTAGAATCCATGTATGGCACATGACCGTCAACCTTGAGCTGGATCAGAGCACCATCAGGGCGAACCATGGTTGGCGCCTTCCCGGATTCCCAATGGAAGGAATATCCTTGATCCAGACACTTCACACCCAGCGACAGCACTGCGGGAGAACTCTCGAGGATGTAAGGCTGAGCAGGCTCACACAATGCATCGACATTGATGTCGGCGATTTCGGAAGCAGTGATGTTTCCGTTTGCAGTCACAAGGCGAATAGGCTGTGGGGGCCTGTTTTCGGATTGCCTTGGACGCATTCCTCAGTGCAGCTTTGCTGATGAGGTCCTGCTCACTACCGGAATCAATAAGCCACACGTCCTTTCCCTTTGGTGCAGGGGTGGCTGCCCTTGGCGCTTCGACATCCTTGCGAACATCGTGAGGCGGCATGGCAATTCTCAGGCACTCATCACATGACAGGCTTGAGATGGAATCGGATTCCACATCGCACATGAAACCACAAGCGGGCTGGGCTCCATTCTCAATGGCTTTGATTGCGGCATTCAACTGGTTCGCGGCCTTGCGTGCTGCCTTGTTCGTCCCTTTGGTCGGCCTGGGGCAGTCCTTGGCATTTGGAAACATCCTGTTGTACTGCCGTTCCTCATACTCAAGCTTGAAACCATCGCCTTCGGCGGGGATCTCATGCACATGAGCATTGGTGTCAAACGACACCCCAATCGGATTGATCGGCTTTGCAAACATGGCGTACCTAGTGCAGACTGCAGCGGCTTTGGCCTTGGGCTTAGGCTTAGGTGAATTTGCACGCTTCTTGGCCGCAGGATTTGCGTTGGCCTCGTTGCTCGATGCCGCGGCGGCAGATTTGCCGCCCGTGGAGGCATGGCTAAACTTGCATTTGTCACCTCTAGTGCACTTCCCTTGGGCAAAGAAAGAACACGGTGCTTTCTCTCCTTTATTGCCTTTGGGGGAACTTGGCCTGCCACGGGTCGCGGAGCGTCCTCGCGGCTCCTTGCGGTGCGCGTAAGGGCAGTTTGCCCCCCTCGTGCACGAGCCCTTCTGGAAGTCAAAGCAGTACTTTTCCTCGGTGTCCTTCGGCTTAGGTGCGCTCTTTTTCTTGGGGTCCCTCTTTTCAGGGGCGGCAGCACCAGCCTTGGGCGTCGGGGCTTTACTGGCATTGACTTTGGACACGCGCTCTCGGTTCTCGCGAAGCCTATCCCTCTCGATTAGATCCCTCATGCAACGCATTAGGAAATCGTACGATTTGTTGGGATCATCATCACGGCAACGATCATATGTGTCAATGTCGTACCGCAACAGATGGCAGCTTCTCACTTGGCGAAGCAAGATGTCTTTCAACACCTTTTCTTCCGGCGGCCTTTTCATGCCGGCGATCACGGAATCCCAAGCGTTTAAGAAACGTTTGAGATCAATGATTCCTTCGCCGTGTCGCGAGATCCTCCAAGGAGTAGAGGTTTCCGGCTTCTTCACTGGTCTTGAAATATTGGTCAAACATAAACAAGACCTGCCTTCCTCTCATGGCCTTTCCCTCCTTGGCACATTCTTCCTTCGCTGTTAGGATTCGCTGAGCCAGATCGCCTTTCGCTGAACGCGTGAGCGCTGCGAGAATCTTCGTGTCTAGGGTCACGAATTTTCCCGGTTCGCCGAGCTCCTCCAACAGCTTCTTCTTGTCCTCGCGATCGGACCAGACTTCCATGATCCAAGGCCAAGCCTCGTCTGGACGGTCAGATGCAGCGCGGACATCCTCACGAACCGATGTCTTCCATTCACGGTACGTTTCAGGAGTTGGCATCTCCTTGAATCGCAACGTCTCGCTTTCGCGGGCTCTGGGCTTTTCATCGTTCGTGTGGCCTTTTACTAACTTCATCAACATTTTGGCGAATGCTTCTTGGCCGAGGTTAGGCCCGAGGCCATCACCTTCGTCTTCATCACCATCGCCATCGCCATCATCATCAGGTGGCGGACCGCCGGGAGGCTTACCACCCTGCTTGCGGTCATTTGACATTGGCCCCTGAGAGAATTGCAGGGGCGGGACCGGTGCACTTGTTTTCACCGGGGATCGGCTGCTACCTGATGGCTTTTCAGCTGGTCCTTGCGGATCGCGAGCATCTGCGGGCAGTGCTTCGCATTCGGCAGTTGGAACCACGCTAGGGGTATATTCAACCCCGTAACCGTCATAGGTAACAAGCGACCTCAACTTTTCCTTTGCATATTGAAATGGATGGGACAACGGGTCCAACACTGACCTTTGGGACCGAGCTGACTTCATGTCGTCGGTCATCAACTCTGGTGAATCCTCTCGGGTATCACCTACCCCTTTGGGCTTCGATCCATCCTCGCGGAGGTCGTGTTGCTCTTCAGCTCATCGAGCTCGTCCTGCAGAAGCCCGTTTTGGTGGGCCATCATGTCAATCGTCCTGGCGTTTTTCGCTTCAACACGGGCTGTGTCATCGGCGTGCTTGGCAGCTTGCTCATGAAGGAGCTGCTGGGCTTCCGCCAGGGTGGATTCGATGGCTTGCCTAAACTCAGTTGTTTTGTGTCCCATTTCCGCTTCATGCAATGCTTGGGCATTTTCCTCACACACTTGGCTTATCCTAGCTTCAGCGAAGTTCACTTTTGGATGAACTCATCGCTCACTCGCTGTTCGCATTCACGAATTCTATGCGACTGGGCTTGCACACATTCAGCGTAGTGTGCATGCAGCTGATTCTGTGCGACACGGAGCTCCTCACGGTTTTCCGCTTGCAAATGCGTGACAGCTGCTTGATGCAGGGCTTCGGCTTCAGACCTAATGGCTGCATCATTCCCAAAAGCAAAGATTGCGGTATTGTACAGTTGAAGGGAATTCATCAGGGTGCGGTTGTACTGCGCATTAGCGCTTGATGCGAACATTCGCACACCGCCGCCGGTGGCGTTGTCGGAGCTAGCTCCGGCAGCATCCACAGGCATGTTGGATCCATCAACTGGCACAAGGGAACCGTCCATTGCTTAGAGCTAGGGGCCTACGGCTGATAACCTATAGATTCAAGGGTTACCGGTTTGGGGCCCAAAAGGAAACAACAAACCGTCCAAGTGCGCTGCTCGCACATTTTCACGCTTGAACAGCCACACTGCGGATGCAATGGATGTAAAACCCCATATTGACCGATCAAATTCTTCAATATCAAGGGGATCAAGTGTTTGTTGCGCAGACCTGGCAAAGAAAAGAGGAATCCAAGATACACATGTCTATGCAAGTCTTGCGCGAATCATCATATTATGAGACAAGGACACCTGCCGGCTCCAAATCTACGGCCCCTGCAGAGATCTCTTGCTGCAGGCCGTCCAAGCGCGCCGAAGACAGCCTCTCCTGCCAGAGGAACCTATGTGCAGTATAGAAACATCAGCTGTAGAGTTGCAGAGTATGCCACGGCCAAAGAAAGGAAACCCTGTGGTCTACCTAGTGTACGAAGCGACTTGTGGCTGGATATGGTTTGCGCATTTGCACTATTAAGAGAGTCAACCATAGCGCTGAACATCTTCGAATGCCCCGGATTGAGATGGTGAGGACTGGCTTTTTGAGATGGTGCAGTGCGTGCTCGCCTTTCACACACTCAGCTCGCGTTAACATCCAACAACTATCGGATCACATTCTAAAGAATGTGAAACTCCAAGTATGTGGTAAGGACGAGCCGCGTTCCCCAGCGCAGGGCTCTCATGGACCTGCAAACTTGCCTGAAAACGCCAGCATCCCAACAACCAATGCCCTTTCCATGTCCTTCGCCGCCAGATTTGGACACGAAACAAAAAACTCAACATGAGCTTCCCTGGAGCTATCAACCCCAATAGCTGCAAAGGTTTTGTGAGGGAATAGTGCCCGCCTCCGCCCCCCCGAGCGAGGACTGGAATCATGGCTTGTTTCGTACTCCAAAGAACTCCTTAGTTTAATATTCAGAAGTGTTTTTCAAAATCAACATGTCAGTCATGGTTCCCTCTCAAAATTTACATGGCCCGCGAAACTCAAGTTTGACCCTTCCAAATTTGCGCTTGGGAGGTTCTGTCTCAGGCTTGCTTGAGAACCCCAAAGACAACCAACTGAGGCTTTGAGCAACAGGCCCTTTTGAAATTCCACGATTCACACGAAATCCCCTGGAAACCCAAGCATCATGGGTTTTCAGCCCGAAAACCAAAAAACGCGACGCCCGGGCAAACCCAAAACCTGGTCCCGTCCCCTCCTCCGCCGAACTGCGCCGCAGCTCCTCCCGCCCCAGGTGCCGATCTAGGCGCCGCTCCAACCTGTGAGGTCTCGGGGTCCCTCACTTTCCCGAACTGTTGAACCTCCAGCAACGCTATCTGGCACGACGCTATCTGCCTCTCTAACTCCAAACATATCCATAGAGTGATGCAAGAAGCAAACCTTCAACATTTATATGCACGTCGACATGCTCAGGCTGCGATGTGCAAGAATTGTCTGAGTCAAGCTTGCTGGAGTCTGGAATCTTCCCCCGTCTCCAGCACTCTTTCCCGAACATGGGGTATCTTCTTTTTGAGGTGTCGGGTTCTTGAAGGGAAGACAAACGCAACCCATGATTTGGGCATGCTCCAAAAACTAACAAAGAGGGGTTGGGGGATTCCTTTTCACTCCGACCGACCGCCTGACCGACCGCCTGACCCACCAACCGACCGACCGACCGGACCAGTCAGCTGGCCACCGGGGCTAGTGAAAAACCGTTCACCCTTCTTCCTTGGTTTTGCAGTAGCAGTGTTCCTTTGCTGTTTGAGGTGGCTCCCTGATCGACACGAAGCGTTGTCTCCCAGCCCCCGGCTCCCGAAGCTGCTCGCCCAGGTCCGGAACGGACTCCGGCCTCTCGGGTGGCTTGCCACAGCTGATTCTGTGCTGTTCCTTTGAAACCCGTGGAAAGGGAATCTGGGAGTGTGAGACAAGCCGAATAGCCTTTTTGCTTTCAACTAGAAGGGCTCCATGATGCTCGCGGCAGACAGGTTGATCTCCCTCACGTTGCTATTCTGTTGTGGTTGAGAACAGCACTTCTTCCTCGAAGCTTGTATGTGATCATGTTCATATCGTGCATGGAACCCAACTCATGTGCTGCAATGACAGCAGGCATCGCGCCGCGAGCGGTCCCACACACGGGGATGCCTGCAAATGTCGGCGGGTTCAGACACGAATGGAAAGTCAGCCATGAGTTCAGACGTTGGCCTTTCAAGGCCTTTTTGGGGGAATTCAAGGTGACGAAAAGCGCTGTCTCAACAAAGTTGCCACGCGACACAGCGGCCCGGGTCACCCCTTCAAGCTCCCGGCCGCTGCCCCGTATCCGGCCTCAGATAGGAGCAGCACCCGCCGCATATTTGCAATTCTGAGATCGCTCCTGTCATTCTGTTGTGTGGGAGGTGGCTCGCTGGGTATTCTTTAGCCTTTACACCTGGCAAACCAAATGGCATGCCACTCATTTCTCACTTCTTGCGGACTCAGGCCGGCGCCCGCGGCCAGACTGGCGGGAGAAGTGAAGCAGAAGGCCCAAATCAGAAGATCCAAATCGGTGGCATTCTCAGTTTGGGGTCAGTCACGCAACTGTCGGGTCTCAAAACTCTTCCGAGGCAAATATCACGCATCTGAGGCGTGGGAACCTCCAGGGAAGGTACAACACTCTTTTACTTGATCAGGTCACGCTTTTGCCAAAGACGACTTGGTATCATCTTGATCTTGCCCAAGACGTGGTTTCATCCAAATACCGCGGCTCTCTTCTGCTTTGCCGTGCCTCAATCACGGCACATTCAACAGGCAGTGCTGAGACAAGGCGGGTAACAAGCACAAGGGCTGGAAATCCTTGGGCGGGTGAATGTCAGCGCCTCACTGCGGGCTTCACAGACACACCGGGAAACCCAAGCTGGAATCCGGCAGCGCTCCAAAAACGCACGTTTTGGCACATGCTCCACAAATGGCCATGGGTCAAAATCCCGCACCCCCAGTGAACATTCCAATCCCCCCTAAAATAGACCACAATGGGTGGTGCACCGACCCCAATATGGTACCATTGGTTTTGATCCACTGCCAAATGGGCGCGTATGACCCTTTTCAGCGTAGCGTTGCTCCCATGCGCCTCGAGATCCTGCACCCTCCGCCGCAGCTCCAGGCCCTCTGCACGCAGCTCCTCAAGGAAAGCGCGACTTGAGGCCGCCTCTGAAAACAAAATTGGAATCGAACAGACATAAAATATGGTTAACAATAGTTGGTCAGCAAATCCATGGAGGGTGGTTAAACAAGGTTGTGTGGGGTCGGCACACCAACCGGACAGCTGTTGTGTGATTGTTTGCATCTTCTTCGGCCTCTTTTAGGCGGAAAAAAAGGTCTGGCTTGGCGGATTGTCGGGATGTGGTGGGCGACGCAAGGGATGGGGACGTGTGGCTGTGCTGAAACAACCACTGGCAAGTGAAGATTTGGTCCCTGTGCCTGGCAAGTAGGACAAGCACTAACGTTGCTCGCCGATCTAAGTGATGCAAAAACATTCTCGTATTCTCCGTCACCTTGCTAGACCCCTGGAAGGCGCCCCGGTCACGGTTTTCCGGTGCTTTGACGGCGTCCCGGTGGTGTTGGTGGTGTCCCGGCGCCCGTAGTTCTGGTGATCTCGGTGGTGTCCCAGGTGTCCCAGACTGGTACCCCGGCGGTTGTGTCCCAGCGAGTTGGTGGGTGGTGTCGCATGGTCCGGGCGCGTCTGACTCGTGTTTTGTGGAGCTTTGACCCAGGACCCATGGTTGCCCCAGTCATTGATTTGGCAGTGCTTTGTGCTGGTGGTGGCATAGTGCGTTCCGATGGTGATGATCTGGCGGTTCGTTCCGCTGGTGTTCCGGAAGTGGCGTGGCGGGAGTGGTCCCCCTTCGTCCTGTTCCGGCAACACGGGGGTTTTGCCACATGCGTAGGTTGTTGGCAGGTTGTGTATCAAAATGATGTTGAGTTGCGTAGCCTTCAGCGTGATATTCAAGATTGAGCGCGGTGGAATGAATGATCAAACCTATTCCCTTACATACTCCACTTCCGAAGTGAATCACAACTTTCGCGGCACATTCTCAGGCAGGGGCGAGTCTTTGTTTGTCCTTTTTCGCGGGGGTTCGAGCCTTCAGCGAACGCAGCGCGGTTGTTCCATGGGCTTGTTCCCAGGCTGGTCCTTTCAATGGGCTGGTTGGGTCAAGGTCGACTGGGAAGCTCGATGGGCGCATCTTGTTTGAAGATTCAGACGGTACCAAAAAAAAGCCAGGAGATTGTCAAAGCACGAAATTCCGATTGCCATGGTTTAGAAAGTTTGGCCCCTGGAGCAATCCTGGTTGGCTGCTTCCTGGTAGTGTCCCGGTGGTGTGGTGGCGCTGCACCTTCGTCCTGGTGGTTTGCTGGTGTCGATGTCGGTGGGGTGTCCCAGTGGCGGGTGTCCCAGCCCATGAGGTGTCTCCCTGTTGTGTGCAGTGTTCGGTGTGGCGTTTCGGAGGTGCTTGGTGCCAGCGGTTCACTATGCGCAAGAAGGGCGCGGTGCATCTAATGTCGACTGGAGTTAGCGTCCCTTTGCTTAGCGTCCCGGTGTGTGTCAGCTCCGTGTGTCCCGGTCGTGAAGGTGTCTCGCGGTTGGAGGCTTGTCCCGGTCAGTGTCCCACCTTCCGGTCGGCTTTGACCCAGCCGCGTTGTGTTCAAAAAGAAATGGGAGAACTGCAGGGCTATTGAGGTCTGCCGCTGAGTAACTTCTTGTTTTCTGCACTATGGCTAAGCCTGAAAATCCTTTTTGCGGTTTGGCCCCAAGCCTTGGGGCCCTCTGAAAAACAGACCCCAGGCTTCGCCTTTGACCAGGCTTCAGTCAAATGGAACCCGACCAAACCAAACCTGTGGGCTCCTGCGCCTGAGAATCCCAGAGGCGCTTCTCCGCCTGCATGATCCAATATACGAAGCTTACTTGGGCACGTATGCCCAACCAGCATAAGGGTTCCCCATTGCAACTCACTGTCATAGTGACCCCTAACATGTCGTGTGTAAGAAGTCCAGATGTAATGTGAACCCCTAATCAGTGGCAGGGTACTGGTCCCAGAATTTTGCCAAAGTCAACCCTCTGGTGGTAGCTTTGCGAGAAAAGGACCCTAATTAAAAATGATGAGCCCTGGGGTAGGAAAAGGGAATCCTCCGACGTTTCCGTCATCCTCAAGAGCCTGCCGTGAACTTACCATTCTGAAAGTCAGCCAAGGCTGCCTTTCGCAAAGTGGGGAATTGAACAAATACGAACACTCACAAACTCACAAACTCACAACCATGGAACAAATCGGAGAAATGAGCCCTCTCCTAGCGTCGACAAAGGGAACACCGCACGTCTTCCCTTTTGCCAGTCTTCCCTTTTGGCCAGCCTTGGAGAATGTGCAAGGAACACCTTCTTGGTCGCATGGGAGTTGCCAAAAACGAGGATCCTTTTGGGAGGTGCACTTTGGGGGGTGGGTTCCCCAAAAAAGGTCGCCACCAACCACATAGGTTTGAATCCAAAATGGAGGAGCCCCAAACAACAAATGGCTCCAAAATGGCGACCCAAGAAAAAGACATACACGGACTTACAATGATACTCTTTTGGCCAAAGCGGTCTCCCATGCCTCCAGATTGGAGGAGAACGCCTGAACCACCTGAGAGCACTTGAAAGGGCTGAAGAGCTGGGCTCGTGGGTTTTTCGGGGAGGGTGCCCCTTTCAGGTGGGTTTCAAAGGAACCACGTGAGGCAAGATTTGACAGAGGTGCAGGCTCTGAACCAGTGAAAACTGGGCCTTCATTCGGGGCATTGCAAGGCTTCGAAGGAATACACGGGGGTTCAAGGGCGAGGTGGTACCTGGCAGGGAGGCTACTTGGTGGCAAGTGAGGGCAAAAAAGTGATCCGAGCCCTGCACGCTGTGCAGCCAACTCACCACACTCTGCCTCGGCCCGTGGGTTCGACACGCAAGAGCAGCGAAGCTTTCTCCGGCCCTATATGAGTGACTCACTCCCTGCGTGGATTGGCCAACTCGTGGCTTGCCACAAACTGGTCTTCCCATCAAGGTCCAGGAACTCGAGTGAGTGCCGCTGTCGGCGATCGCTTGGGCCGCCGGCAGGCTGGTGGTCTTCAGGCGCACCAGCGGCTCACTCAGACTCGGCCTCAGACATGGCCATGCCGAGTCCGCCGAATGGCAAGGAGGGCAGATAGTCAAGTGCTGAATTGATTGGTGGTTTTGCAGATTTGGGTTGGCCCAAGCAACACAGAAACAGGTATGAGTTCGAACAAATGGGTTCCAGGATGCTGCAGGCATGATCGGCGCAGGCTCCCCTTTATTAGAACCTGTTTTAACGTGTCCCTTGAAAGCTGGGTATGGGTCAAATTTAAACCACCAGCGGACCGCAGGTTTTAGTCCATGTTTCCATTTACCAAGGTTCCATTTTGGGTATCTATTCTTGACCCACAGCCAACTCAAGGGGCTCCGGCGGCATCGCCATTGGCGTGCGCGCCGCGCGAGGCGTGAGCTCCGCGAGGCCCTCAACCGGCCGAGCGCGCGCCCCGCACGCGCTTGAGCACACGTGAAGTGAATGGACCCGCAGCCAAGAGGTGTGGATTGCCCAAAGATGGTCCCATTGAGAATCGAAGTTCAACAACTCTTACCCCCCCGCCTCCCCGGCCAACTCGTTGAAAAGAGACACACATCTCCAAAAACGGGGAAAGGAGTGGAGGGCGCTTTTGCTAAGCCTAACGATCCATTGTGGGATTCTGCGAGCCTAGTCCTCTCTGGGAGAAGGCCATAAGCCCTGCAAAATGCAATGGGTACATACTGAGTACACAATCAAATTTAAGAATATACCAGGGGTACGGAGGAAAGCAACAAAAGCCTGACAGTGGTGCTCTTCAAACTTTGGTAGTATGCGCGAATGATTGGAACTGGGATCTGCCTGCCTTTCTAGCAATCTTCCATCCCACCAGAAAGCATCCCAGAGCAGACGCGTTGCCTTTCACTTGCCGTGCTGCCGCCCCTTCTCTCAGTCGACTCTGCGAGGGTGAACCGTTCACACCTTGCCCACGACTTGCGCCGAGATTGTGATATGCCTTTTTCTTCATGGCAGTTAAAAGCACCGCACGGTCGTGTCAATTGCCTGGCAGCTTTTCTACAAATCAAGTCCGCGAAAATAGAGCATCTTCGCCTCGATCGTCCAGCTCTTGAGGTAATGTGAAGTACCCTTCGAGTACTGTAATGACTAGTCCTTTGGCTACAGCGCCAGTCAGGGACCGGCTGATCCAAACCAGTTGAACATTTGATCACTCACCACCGTTCCGTGTTTATGAGGGCAGCCAAGGTCGAACCATCATTTTCATAGCCCAGGCTCACTTGTGGCCGTGCTTTTTCGTTGGCTGTTCTTGTGGATCCATATGTCAGAGAGCAGCGTGTCTGCTCAGGCAATGTTGCTGCAAGGTGTCAAGCACAAGGCTTTCCTGGGGTTGCTTTGGGAGTTGGGACGGTTCAGTTGGTCTACGGGTCAATGTGGGTCTAGGGCAGCATTAGGACTGTTTCGCACTGGCTTCGGAGTGGCCTGGCCTTGGAACAAGAGCATTTGTTGTCGATTCAGTGCATTCAGAATTGCCTTAGCATTGATCACCGCCTAGTGTCGTGTTGGTTGGGGGCTGTGCATGTTGGTGTCTTCTAGGGTTCTGACAGAGCTCGATTCCTTTTGAGCAGCACCGAGTTGGGCAAGTGCTGTTCAAACAAGGCACTGACCCCAAAGGGAGGGAATAAAAAGGGATGCCGGTTCAACCAGCAGCTGCCGTAATAATAACACTTGGCTCAACCCCACCGGATCTCTGGCGATAGCTCTAAAGCAGCTGCGCTCAGTGATGGCCATGGCCATGCTCCTACAGCTCAACGGAAGAGGGCGCTTCACAAAGGACTGGGAACCCCAAAGAAACTGCGATCAAAAAGGAACCCCAAAGAAACCGTAAGGAACCCTAAGGAACCCCACAGTGTGTTTGTCCTTCCTGTTGGTTTCCCATTGAAACCATGAGGAAGCAACCATTTTGAGAAACCAAAAGCTTCCTTTGGCACTTCTTTTTTGGAAACTTCTTTCCAGAAGGGACCGCTTTCTTTCCGCCAACCTTGGGAGCCCCGCCTCGAGAGTGATGTCCTGGCCCGCATAGCCCCACTTGTGTGCACGGCGGTGGCAGAGCATGTGGGAGTAGTGGTGGTGATCAAAGTAGACGCCTGGGCCCAACGAAAACATCCTCATCCATCCTCTTCGGATCGATTTCCCCATCGATTTCGAGGGACCGGCCGGAATCAACACGGCAAAACGACGTGTTTGGACAAGGGCCTTTGTTGGAAGCAGTCGGCATGGCCAACTGCCATTCATGACTTCATGCTCACAGATCGGCAGATTCTGATGTGCTTCATTCGAGGCAACTTTGTGCCGTGTGCACATCTCAGCTCTGTGCCATAGTAGTAGTCCTTGAAGTGCTTCCAGTATTCCTCCCTGTCAATGTAGATCTCCATTGGCTCACGCCTGCACACACCCATTTTTAGGCGACGCTGGGAGGCTCTCTGGAGTCAGGAACGGGTGCCTTTTTCAGGAATTTGGGGGGGGGGGTCGCAAACACGCGAATTTTGCCTGGTTTGCGGTTTTAGGACTAGGCGCCCTGCACCAGCATCGACGGTTTGATTGTCTAGTGATGCCCTAGTCGCGCCCTACTGGGAAACCGACCATCTGCCGAGAATGGAGAGTACGTTGCATCTCCACGTTTTGGGAACTCTTCCAAGCCTTTGGTGCTGCGTTATCAGCATCTAGGGGCTTTTTTTTCTGAAGGCTTCATTGTGAAATGCTGCAACACTTTGCGCCTGTACACTACGGCTGCATCCCCTGCGGGAGCCCGACATATGACCAAAAGGGGCCACCCTGCGCACGCACGCGCGCATGCACGCACGCAAGCGCCTTGGCACACGCCCGCCATGCGCGCACTATGCTGGATGGCAAGGCCGGATGTGCGTTAGCTTGAAGTTCCTAGGTTTTGGGCCAGCCGCTTCTGTGGGGAAAACGAGCAAAGTCCACGAGTTCAGCCCACTCTCTTCCCACCTCTGCTCCAGAGTCAGCCAGGTGAACACAACGGTGACGGGAGCCTCAGCTCCAAACCGGCAAACGCTGGACAGCCAAGAACAAGGCCGACAACAAGGGCGGAGTCGCCTGCTCTCCACGCGTGCTTCCAAAATCCGATTTGAGAGCCCGGCCGCAACCATCAGGATCCACACGCCTCAAGCCGACTGCGAGTGCAAGAAACTCAAGGAGTGTTCCACCTAGCATTGAAGCAGTCTACCCAAAACTGTGTAAAGACTCAAAAGAGCGGTCACCGTGCTTTCCTGGTTGGGACTGTCCCCATAGAAATGTTGTTTGTGGATGGCTCCCAGCCCACAGACAGGCGCAACACCTGTGAGCACAGCTTCTTCAGCCCTGATAAATCAGCAAAAAAAAAACTCTTTGCAGCCCCTGAATGGAAGCAAAGAGGCAAAACCTAAACCACAGACTAAGAACAGTGCAAGGCTTAATTTTTGTAGCAGCATCAATGCTGGCGATCTGGCATGTGCCCAGCACCAGCGCAAGAAGCGTCGGAACGGGGACAAGTTACAGAAGATAACAGCCTGCAGAGGGCAGCCTTCTATGTTTCATGTGAGCCGTGCCCTCTACCACGAAGCTTATGAAAGGTTCGATAGTCCTGTTGCAGCTTCTTGTAATCCCCGCTAATTACTTCAGGTAGCAGAACAGTCAACCAAAATCAAAATGGCCAACGCGGGTGTTGGGTGCTGCTCATGTTAAGGCTTTCGGAAAGCCCACTCCGTGACATGTCTTTCGCTGAGCATGAAAGCTGACATAAGCCATTGCAAAATATTAATGTCGTCCCCCATGACAGTTAAATGTGGCGATTGTACCCCCATTGTACCCTTTGAAAATGGTGGTGAGTATTGACCGTTAATCACCGGAAGACTAATTAGTGAGGATAAACTCATGCAACCAAAGCACGCGCTCCAAGGCAGTTGTATGCGAAGCACTTGACAAACTCCGCCGTGCTGACCTTGTGCCGCAACAGACGCTAACGCTGCGCAGCTTCAACACGGTCATTTTGTGTTTGCGCATAGGTGCGCGCCTCTTGGAAAAGTGTCCAGGCTCGAAGCTGTGGGGGGAGAAACCTGAATGGGCTATGCGGTAGGAGGTCTTACGTGCCCTGAGTCCTGCGAATCGTCTCAGAGTCCGTGCCACAGAACATCGCAGGCATGGCATGAATGCCTACCACTTGGCGTGATTCGTCTCACCAGCTCAATATGAGCAGTCTCACAAATGGAAGTACAAGACAGCACGACCACGTCACAGTCCAGGATTGATAATCGCTGATTGCTTAGTGGGCATATTTCACTTTTCGGGGAATCACTCTGATTAATCTGCCAGGTCTCTAAATCCGCGGTCGGCAATACTCAACAGCCAGCAGTTGAGTGATGTACAAGCATATCTCAGCATGCTTGCTTCGAGCTATGCATTTGTACTGCTTTCATCAGTGTGGTTGTGGCATCAAGCGGCCTTGGAACGCATGCTTACGAAACCGCTTAGAGGCCAACAGGGCGTTCCTTTTATATCCACCACTGTTGGCCCATGAGTTTACAAGTCCTTCCAAATTGTGTTTGCCTGATTGAAGATTGGCTGCCAATTGGCAACAAGCAACATTCCAGAAGAGCAAAGTTTAGAAAGAAACTACCCTTCGGCGGTCAGCTAAGCGATCCTCAAAGAACAAACCGGTGTTTCATGGGTTTTTTGGCTGAACACGCCCGCCTTGCGACTTGCCTTCAAAGCACGCCATCTGTGCATGCCTCCAAGCGGCCGTCTGGAATCGGTCCTGTCGCAACACGTCAAGTGCAAAACAGCCCCGGTCCAAAAGCCTGCTCATGTCCCGTTAGAGTTGCAGTCTTGTCAACAGTAGCTGTCCGATGCCAGATTGGTGAGCACTGGCTTGCTGCACTGCCCATGCCAGCCCTGGTCCTGCATGTTGAAGTGCTTGACCGGGTCGATGGTCGGGTTGTGAATGCCGCCAACCACCCACGGGGTGTTGTGCTTCGGGCCCCTGCCAACAGCCAGCTATCAATGGGTGCTTGGCCTTCTAAGCAGCGGAAGGCTATGTCGCCCGAAATCAAAAACCCTTCGACTTGGTGAGTCGCCACTTGTTTGCAGCTTGTCGACTAAAGCTCGGCGCAGCCTAAATATGTCGACCAAAGCTCGCCAACTCTCCAGGCACTGGACAGAGAAGAACTCAACTGCGGTGATGCTTCACCCTTTGGCTTCAGGCTACCTTTTGAGGTCGAAGGATCCCCAGCAAGTCTCGTATCAGCATCCCCGCTTGATGGGGTTGGACAGGCTCCAGAAGTAGTAGGACCCACGCCTCGGCCGCAGGGCCCTGGTAATCTCTCGCGTATTCATTTGTACAATACTGGTTCAGAGCCATAGCAAAAGGAGCAATTGCAACCGAACAGTGACGATCAGCAACTCTCACAGGCCGTTCAGAACCATCTACGTCTGAAACGCTCCCATAGTTCCCTTCAAACACATTGAAAGATGGCTGGTGGACACAAATCCCAATACAAGTGATGTCCACCAAAGGGGCTGACCCAGTCACAGTGCCTCCAAGTGTTCCGTTTGGCGATCCCCCAAGACACACACACACAAAAAAAAGAGAATTACACTCATACCCATATCTTGCACGGCATGCCTAACCTTCAAAGGAAAAAGACAACAAAACACTGCTTGCAGCGGGGCCGATTCGGTGAGTTCACCAAACCTCTGAAGGGGTTGAAGTTCAACCCGCAGTCTTGCCACACACCCACAAACAAATCACAGCATTTCATCTCTTGCAAGCTGCTGTTAAATGTGGCTCTCACGGGCTGATCGTGAATGACCAAACAGGTGGGTGGGGACTGCGCCTGGCCGAGTATTCCCAAACACATCCGTAACTTCTGCTAACAACATGTTTCTAAAGGAACCCAAAACTCGCTTTCAAAAGAAGATCACGATAGTCGATGGCACAATGCCTTTTGCGTAGGTAGGCACAACAAAGGACAAAACAAAATAGAGCTGTGCCATGTACACTCATCATTCACCTCACTGTAGCAAGCTCTTGTTTTAAAGCCCCTTTGAGCTCATAGACTCCACTGTGGCTATGCAAAAGCCGAGCGTGGCGCATCCAGCCGTGACGGCCCATGGCCTGAACAAACGGATGGTTTCAATAAACGGGCGAAGCCGGCGGAATGGCACATGGCAAATACTGGCGCTGAGCAATTTCGGGTTCTTAGGGCTTCAGAATTGGACCTTGTGCTTCGGGATAACCGAAGCTGGTCCCAAGTATCGAAGGTTCCTTTGGAAAATAGCCCAGACGGTATTTTCCCCAGAACATGGGCATTCCCTCCATGAGCGAATGTAATGGATGCCATGCCACCTCTTCTCGCAGCGCAAGCAATCATGATTTGATGACCGCTAGACGCGCGCAGGTTGCTCTGTGCAAGTTGCTCTGTGCAGGCTTCTCCATGCAAGTTGTTCAGCGCAAGTCGCTCTGTGCAAGTTGCTCTGTGAAAGTTTCTCTATGCAAATTGCTCTGCCAAGTTTCGCTGTGCAAACTATCTTGCGCAAGCCACTCTGTGCAATTTGCTCTGGGCAAGTTGCTCTGTGCGAGCTGCTCTGTGCAAGCTAGTCCAAGGGCTCCGCACGGAACCCTTCGCGATGCTTTCGGAAAAAGTGAAGGATTCTTCCAAAAACAGAATGGCACGCCCTATCAATCCATCCCAGGTTTTTAATCTTGGGATTCCGTTAGTTGTTGTAAGGGCCTCGTTGGATTCGCTTTGCTGCACGGCTTTCCTTCTTCCCCCATGTCCGAATGGCGGCACCAGGGTGTCGTTCATGTTTGCTTTCTCCTTCCACACATCCAGCCCTCGGGGTTGTGCTCAGCTTTTCGGAGTCTCACCTCAAATACTGTTGTGGAGGTCCAACTGGATTCGTCAATGATGCCACTGCCATCTTTCCTCTAGCCTGGCTCCATTGTTTTCCTCATAGTCAGCGATGCACAAGCTCCGCTGATGGACTTCATTCTTGGAACTTTCTTGGTACAAGGCCTGAATGTGAACTAGAAACGCAGCATGTTGCTACTACTAGGCTGAACCTGTTCAGAGCAAAAAGGCGGGTGTTTTACATCAACAAACATCGTGGCTGCCTGCGGTAGGAGAGTAAACTGTCAAAGCCACAGGTTGTGATGTCCCTCACGACATGGCACGGATTCGGACCTGTCCCTAGCTCGGATCGCCTTCTCGCTGGCGAGGGGGAAGTTGGGCCCAATGGGCTTGATCGGCCCCTGGGCGGCAGCCCGCATGGGCAGAGCTGCCTGGCACCTGTCAGCAGCTTTGGGGGGGAAATAGGGTCAGCATTGGCAAGGGATTTGGCTCTCAAAGGAATCGTCCCCATGTCGCTCTGCTTCAATTTATCCCAAGACAGGGCCCCGCCTTAAGCATGGGCCCTTTGACTCCCCGCACGATAGGAAAGCAAAGTATGGTTCTCCGTTCGAAGATTTCCGCGCCCTCCAGATGGGCCAGCTTCCTCTTGGTGTCTCTCTTGGAAGCTTTCGTCGAATCCATCAAAACTAGGTTGATTGATCATTATATATTTTACTGCCAACAGCTGACATGGCAAGAAAAAAAGCCACAAAGCCCTGCAAAAAGCAAGGTTTGCCGCGCTGGCGCCTCGCAGCGCGGCGCAAAAGACCTGCCATGGCTGCACCTGGCCGGGGCCGCGGGCCACGCTTCCCTGAGTCGCAAAATCAGGGATCGAAAACAAGTCGATTGCCTTTTAAGCCACCCAAACGTGAGTCGAAAAGAAGCCGCTTCCTTTTGGGTTGCCTTTTCAACCACAAGTGGGTCCCCACCAAAATGGACATTTACATAGGTTTGTCTCAATATGGAGAAAAACCTTGAAAGGGGCAACGGTGAGGAAACGGAACAAACAAACAGGTCCATGAGCTGAGAAACGCCCATGGAGGAAGGAGCGACAAATTGAAGTCTGTGACTGGCCCGTCTGCGGTTGGCTCAAGCTGCTCTATTGACTCCGCCTTCTAACCCACAAGTGACCAGAGATGCTGAGCCCCTAGCGAGCTGACAACGAAAAAGCCTCGTTCAAAGCTAGGGTGCTCTGAGCCCAGGTCGGTGCGGGCGGATCCTTGCAGCTTGACTCCAACGTCGCTTCAAGTTGGCAATCTCGAAAAAGCCTACCCTGGATTCAGCCCTCGGTGGGTGGTCCATTCGACAGACGTTCTCAATTCGCGCAGACCGCCTGGGCACCTTCGCTGGAAACCGCTCTTTGGGGCCTGCGCGAATCACCCTCGCACCATGGCACCTTTGCGGCGCAGAGACCTTTGGAAGATCCTTTCCTCTAACAGGGTTCCAAGTTTGGAGGGGCTGGCCTTCTTCTCTCGCACCAGCGGACTTTTTCGGTAGCCGGGCTCAGCAACCTTCGGGCAAAGCGTGAAGGTGCGGATGGTGTCGTCGAATCCATCCGAAACCAGGCGTCGAGAGCCCCAAAGTCCGATGGTCGAAACGTACATGCGCCATCCTGGATGCATGCGGCTAGGCATGCTCCCTGTGGAGTTTGGCTTTGTTGGCAGGTTCCATCAGGGGATTCGAGTCCTTATCGCTCTTTGATCCTTGTACTTGATGCCTTCCGAAGTCTTCATATCCAAGATACACAGCGCACATCAAGGTTTTCGGCAATCCGAAATTGCTAGTGCCCCATGTCTGCCGACTCCTCCCTTCTGGTAAGAAGCAGAAAGTAGCACCGGCGCATTTGCGCAGGGACCCTCCCCCCACCCCTCGCAACTGGCCCGTTCAAGCGTCCTGACTTGGACCACAGCAGGCGGGGCTGGCCGAGCCCTTCCCAGGCCAGCAGCGACAGGATGCCCGCCCGGGTCACCAGCAGGACCCGGGTCTCGCTGAGCAACACCTGGAAGGGTGGAGTGGAACTAGTGGAACCGTCAAAATTCGAGGGGACACTTCCCATTCTTTCCAATTTCTTTCCAGAAAACAATCTGAACCCCAGGGAGAAAGCTGATTTTAAAAAGAACGATGGTTGAAAAGAATGGGAAATCCTGCAGCTCCAATAGCTGCTGATCTCCTACCCTGGCTTTGAGTTGGCCATCGAGTTGCGAGAACCGCGAGTGTCTGTCGCATGACGCGTTGCACACGGACGTCTCCCTTGCCGGAAATCCGCCGACGCCTTCGCCTAAAGGGGGAGGCGCACGGGAAGGGCGATGGCAAGAATCAACATTGTCCCTGCCAGAGATGCTGTCGCTGCTCGACATGCTGGGGGTGGTTCCCATCATCGCTGCTAGGGATGCTAGGTAGTGATGCTTATAATCCACCCTCATGATCGTCGTCATGATTCGTCTTCTCAATTCTTTTCTATATACATTTCAAGTGTCCCGGTAGACCCGGCTTGACATGCAAGCGATGCGTAGTGATGGCTATCATCATCGCTGCTAGGGACGCTAGAGATGCGTAGTGATGCTTATCATCCACGTTCATGATCGTCATCATGATTCGTCTTCTCAAGTCTTTTCTACATACATGTCAAATGTCCCGTTAGACCCGGCTTGACATGCAAGCGCTGCGTAGTGATGGTTATCATCATGGCTGCTAGGGATGCTAGAGATGCGTAGCGATGCTTATCATCCACCCTCATGATCGTCGTCATCTCAAGTCTTGTCCAGTCTTTTCTTCATACTTTTCAAGTGTCCCGTTAGACCCGGCTTGGCACGCAAGCGATGCGTAGTGATGGTTATCATCATCGCTGCTAGGGATGCTAGAGGTGCGTAGTGATGCTTGTCATCCACGTTCATGATCGCCGTCATGATTCGTCTTCTCAAGTCTTTTCTATATACATTTCAAGTGTCCCGATAGACCCTTTCAAGTGTCCCGTTAGACCCGGCTATGAGTAGTGATGGTTGTCATCATCGCTGCTAGGGATGCTAGAGATGCGTAGTGATGCTTATCATCCACCCTCATGATCGTCGTCATGATTCGTCTTCTCAAGTCTTTTCTATATACTTTTCAATTGTCCCGTTAGACCCGGCTTGACATGCAAGCGCTTCGTAGTATGGTTATCATCATCGCTGCTAGGGATGCTAGAGATGCGTAGCGATGCTTGTCATCCACCCTCATGATCGTCGTCATCTCAAGTCTTGTCCAGTCTTTTCTTCATACTTTTCAAGTTTCCCGTTAGACCCGGCTTGGCACGCAAGCGATGCGTAGTGACGGTTATCATCATCGCTGCTAGGGATGCTAGAGATGCGTAGTGATGCTTATCATCCACGTTCATGATCGCCGTCATGATTCGTCTTCTCAAGTCTTTTCTATATACATTTCAAGTGTCCCGATAGACCCTTTCAAGTGTCCCGCTAGGCCCGGCTATGAGTAGTGATGGTTGTCATCATCGCTGCTAGGGATGCTAGAGATGCGTAGTGATGCTTATCATCCACGTTCATGATCGTCGTCACGATTCCTCTTCTCAAGTCTTTTCTATATACATTTCAAGTGTCGCGGTAGACCCGGCTTCACATGCAAGCGATGCGTAGTGATGGTTATCATCATCGCTGCTAGGGACGCTAGAGATGCGTAGTGATGCTTATCATCCACGTTCATGACCGTCGCCATAATTCGTCTTCTCAAGTTTTTTGTATATACTTTTCAAGTGTCCCGTTAGACCCGGCTTGACATGCAAGCGCTGCGTAGTGATGGTTATCATCATCGCTGCTAGGGATGCTAGAGATGCGTAGTGATGCTTATCATCCACCCTCATGATCGTCGTCGTGATTCGTCTTCTCAAGTCGTTTCTATATACTTTTCAAGTGTCCCGATAGACCCGGCTTGACATGCAAGCGATGCGTAGTGATGGTTGTCATCATCGCTGCTAGGGATGCTAGAGATGTGTAGTCACGCTTATCGTGCACCCTCTTGATCGTCGACATCTCAAGTCTTTTCAAGCGTCCTCCAACATTCATGGGGAGGACATTTCAAGTCATGACGACTATCATCGTTCTACCAAGACTTCGAATAAGAAAAGGGATGATGAGGACCGTCGTGATGATGACTATGATGAACCATGATTATTTGCTAGCACGCGCGCGAAGCGGAAGGAAACCGTCCTTGCAGAAGTCTGGCGTTTGGTTGCGGCGATGCGGGAGGCGCCCCGCAACTCTGTTGCGAAGCCTCCTTAAATGGCAGGCCGCACAGTTGACGGCTTATGTGTTCCGACAACGATGATAGCGAAGATAGGTGACGGTGATGACGATGATACTAAGAATGATCATCGCCGTCATGCAGCATTCATGGAGAGGAGATTTCGACTGTAAGGATAACTATCATCAAGCGTCCTCCAGCATTCACAGGGAGGACATTTCCAATGCAAGGATAACTATCATGAAGCGTCCTCCAGCATTCGTGGGGAGGACATTTCGAGTCGTGACGACTATCATCGTCCACCAGGACTGTCAAATAAGAAATGACTTCCGCGATGATAATGATAATGATGAGGACTGTCATGATGATGACTATGATAAACCATGATTATTTGCTAGCACGCGCGCGAAGCGGAAGGAAACCGTCCTTGCAGAAGTCTGGCGTTTGGTTGCGGCGATGCGGGGGCGCCCCGCAACTCTGCTGCGAAGCCTCCTTAGATGGCAGGCCGCACAGTTGACGGCTTATGTGTTCCGACAACGATGATAGCGAAGATAGGTGACGGTGATGACGATGATACTAAGAATGATCATCGCCGTCCTGCAGCATTCATGGAGAGGAGATTTTGACTCTAAGGATAACTATCTTCGAGCGTCCTCCAGCATTCACAGGGAGGACATTACGAATGCAAGGATAACTATCATCAAGCGTCCTCCAGCATTCACAGCAAACACATTTCGAATCCAGCATTCGTGGGGGAGGACATTTCGAGTCCTGACGACTATCATCGTTCTACCAGGACTGTCAAATAAGAAATGATGATTCCCGTGATGACAATGATGATAAGCATGAAGACCAAAGAAAGAAAGGGATGATGAGGACCGTCATGATGATGACTATGATGAACCATGATTGTTTGCGAGCACGCGCGCAAAGCGGGAGGAAACCGTCCTTGCAGAAGTCTGGCGTTTGGTTGCGGCGATGCGGGGGGCGCCCCGCGTAGTGATGATTATCATCATCATCATCATGATCGTTGCTGGAGATGCTAGAAATGCAAGACACGCCGGGGATGCGTAGCGACGGTTGTCGTCATAGCTGCTAGGGATGCTGGGGATGCGTAGTGATGCTTATCATCCATCCTCATGATCCTCAAGTGTCCTGTTAGACCCGGCTTGACATGCAAGCGATGCGTTGTCATGATTGCCATCATCGCTGCTGGAGATGCTGGGGATGCTTAGTGATGATTGATCATCATCATGATCTTCGCTACTGGAGGGGATGTGTAGTGAATATGTCACTCCACTCCACTCATTTGTGTGTTTCCCCAAACCCTCCCTACCTTTGATTCATCCATGGGGGATGCGCGACCTGGTGTGTTGGGCCTGCCCCTCCATCCATGGTCAGTGGGTTGGGGAGGAGTTCCCCCCCAACAAAATCCGGTGAAAACGGCCACGTGGGCATGCTGGTGGGTACTCAAACGGCCTGAGCCTATAAACACGTGCCGTTTACGTGACGTTTCATGAGTAGCAAGCAACCCAGTTTCACGTCACTCCACTCATTTGTGTGTTTCCCCAAACCCTCCCTCCCAACACACCTTTGATTCATCCATGGAGGACGCGCGACCTGGTGTGTTGGGCCTGCCCCTCCATCCATGGTCAGTGGATGGGGCAGGCCAAACAAACCGTTCCAGGGGAGGAGCTGCCACTGCACCAGAAAGTGGCAGCCTCCCACTGCTGGCAAGCATCCTATCGCTTGCCAGCTTGAGAGAAACCTCTCTCGAAACCCTCCCTTTTATTTCTTGTCCCCCTGGCCTCACCATGGTTCCTTCCATCTCATCTGCGCCTTCTTGCGTTTCTTGGCCGTGTTCTTGCTGGAGCTCCTGAACCTTCTTCTTCTTCTTGTCCTTCTCGAGCCTGATCTCTGCGTCCAGCTGCATGGCCGCCTCCATGATCTTTGGGATCACCTTGAAGCACAGCTCGTCCAGCTCCAACTGCACCTTCAGGTCCGGGTTGAAGAGGGTGAATGAAGTCCAAGTTGGTGAGCGCGTCCGCCTCCTCGTTCTGCTCCCGGGGTGTCCACCCAAGCTGCAGGGTTGTGCCCAGGTCACCCAGCTGGACCGCCAACTCATCAAAGGTTGAGCGGCCCCCAAAACACTCCCATCCTCCACCCGAAAGAGTTCAAACCACCTTCTTTGGCAGCGTCGTAGGGCCCAACCTCGTCCTTGACCTCCGGATCACGTGGCCTCTCTCAAGGTCCTCCTCCACCTACCACCGAATGTCCTCCATGTTGTCCACCGCGGAGCCGTAGTTCTCGCACCACACCTCCTTCAAGGGGTCCTCCACTTCTTCAAGATTCCACTTCACCTTGGCTTCGAAAACCGCTGGCACTCTGGGCATCTCCTCGTCCACCCCTCCACCCCCGTTTCCACCAGGGGGATGAGCATGTAGTGCGCACCCGAAGCTGAAGGCCATGAACGGCCATTCCTGCTCCTTGACGGGCTGACATCGTACTTCATGAGCAGCCGGCTTCGCCGCCTGGTCCGCCTTCATCTCCTGACCATCGCCTCAGGTCATCCACCCCCGTTAACCTCATGCGATTCCGCCACACCCAGCAAGGCCTGCATCCTCCTGCAGTGGATCTCCGTGATCCGGTCGGGAGCCCGCCGCGCAATCTGCCAGAACGTCTCCTGGCCTTTTTCCTGGCTCAGCCAATCCTTGAAGAACTTCATGAGAATCTCCCTTTTCTCCATCTTATTCATGATGTCCTGCT